GTGGTTTTTATTTCTAGTGAACAAAGTGATTAGGAGACACAAACAAACAGCAAAGGTGTGTCACCTCAAACTGACAAAGAAATCTCTCAGTAATGTAATTTGACTAGCAAAATGATTTTGTATTTTACATACTAGCAGCATCTCACGATGTTGGTACCACTGCACTCCCAAGAGATGCAATCAGTGGCAACATGTGGCTCTTCATATTCTACGTGAAGGGCAATGAGTCTCAGTCATGCATGGCTAGAGATAAGAACATAAAGGCATCTAATCCTGTAGTCCTAATCTGTACTATATCTTGCAAAATATACGTGTTCAAAAGACATATCAAATATTATTTTCCAAAATAGAATTCCATTTCAAATGAGAGGTAATTTATTTGCTTCCTTATTATAAGCAGTTTTACAATCCTTATGTGAGCCAACCTAAATTCCTTTCAGTCTCACCTGGAATAGAGTTCACTATTTTGGCCACTAGAAAAAAATGCCATTCCCCCTCAAAAGAAATCACTCTGAAGTTTTTCTACAGTGATATTCCATTCCTTACCAGTCATTTTGCATATTAACTTATTCCCTCAAAGCAGATGTCACAGATGTAAGCATTATTCATTGGATCAATATCACAGATAAATAATGATATGAAAGCAGGGAAGAAAACCTTCAGGCTCTTCCAAAAGCATATTCTGTCTTTACTTTGTCAATATTGAAGCTCTCAACAGTTTCATTGTGCTATTATTGAATTCAACAAATAATTATGTACAACACACAACTGTCCTTTTCCCTCAAACCTATCACCTTTAAATTCCAAACCTGTTAGTTTTATCTTGTGTTTTTCTAATGAGATTAATTCCTTGAAAATAATTATGATAAAGAAACAGAAGGATGATAATCTTGGATAATATTAACTAAGAATTACCCAACATTTTATACATAATGCATAAAATTGCATACTCTTTGTCTGAGACATGGGAGTTTGTGAAAGAATGTGATTTTTCTAATCATTTAGATTGTTATCTTTTAATGCTTGCTAGCGCTGCATTTTCAAAAGAGTCTATTTCTCAGTTCACAACTATTCCAGCAAACTTCATTGTTTAATTATGTAATGTGTCCAGAGAAGTAAAGAAAGTAGAATCCGTGCTACTATCTGAATTTCTAGGGAGAAAAAGTGTTATTACTCCCATACTACAATCCATTATTACCCAGTAGATTTAGAGACATCAATTCTGAGACACTGCCAAGAGTATTCTGAGGAACACACAGGCTTTTTTTTTGCTTGCATATTCAAGCATTGCTGGGCTTCAGCTGGTGAAAGTGAACAGCATGAACTCCTCTCCTCTGCAGCAACTACATCCATATTTCAGATTTAACTGACCATGCCATTCGCATACCCTACATCTAAAAACAAACTACATGGTTCCAGTCTTTCTCATTTTTCTTCAGGGAGAACAAAACTAAAATAGTTCTGAGTCATCAGAATAAGAAGATGCACTACTATAACTTCATAAGTTTTCAGAAAAAAGACTGCTTATTTCGAGCTTAGCAGTCCCTGTGCAAGTACCACACTAATTAAGAAGATAACTGATGTCAAAGTCATTTCTTTCTTCTACCACTGTCTTTCCCTCTTCCTCTTCATTCAAGCTACTCTTTCTTTATTTTTCATGTATAATGTTACCTTAAAATAAAATTGAACATTATGCCTCAAATCTACTAAATGGAGAATTACATACAGTTTTAAGTAGCAGTAGCACATGGTTATGGTAAGAACGACTTACCTTAAATGATTTATATCGTTCATCATTTAACACATCTTTAGCTCTAGAACTCTCTCCTTCTTCAATAATCTCCTAAACAGAGGAAAACATACTCCTTTTTAAATTAAAAACCACAGAAAGCAGTAATAAAATAATCATGTCATCAACCTGCACAAACATGAAGAGTCTCCTTACATTTTGCATCAGGATCAATTGTGAAACGCTTCTCCACCCAGAACTCCCATTTACTCAAGGATGAAGAGAGATCAGGATCATAGACTATATTTTGAAGTATTTATTTACTCATAAGCTGACAGTTGGAAAGTAACTAAGTTATCAATAAGTTGCCCTGGAAAATAAGTTTCATTATTTTAGTTTACCTCTCTTAAAAATAGGGAGTTCTGTAAGAGTAGAGGTTTTTTTACTATTAAGTTATGCTCCATGTAGTCTTTTTGATAAGGAAACAAAAAGCTCCATCCTATCGTCTGATGCACCATAATTGAATTTGTAGTCCCCAGGCAGCAGTTACACAGCTGCTTTTTTAACAGGTGGAGCAAGGCAGAGGAGGAGATGGAGTGATCCACAGCACTCAGTAATCACCTCTCCAGACAGCTAAGATGCTACTACCAACTGCCTATTGGAATAACACTAAGACACGGGGTCTTGAAAAGGCCAAGAACTAAAGAAAAGAATAGGGGATATTCAAAGCTCCTACAAGAATTTAAAGTTTATCCATCACCTAGATAAAAGGGCCTGTTATAACTCATAACAAGGTAGGATTTAACATTAAAGTACTAAAATATTTACCAGTTTTGCAGAAACAGTATTTGCAATAAAGCATTCAACTGAGAAGTACAGTGCCAAGGGCAGAATAAATCTCATGAGTAGAGCTATTATCAGTTAACCTGTCACATACAAATTAGACTACTAAAATGATACATGCAGATCACCCCACATTACTTATTTCTATACATAAATTATCTTTATCCATAAGGGGCCTTTCTGTGACAGGTATTTTTCTGCACAGATTTAAGAAAAGCATAGAAATTAAAGTTTTACAGAAGGTACCTCGATGATGTCTCTGACTTGATCTCCCATGCAGGGCAAGCCCTGTATGTCTTTCATTCTGACCACTGGAAATGGAAGAAATTTCAGCACAGAAGCTGCTCTCTGAAATTCCAGGGAGAATATTTCATTTTCTTTGAACTCATAATTTTCAGCCATTATTTCAAAGGCATCCTGTGAGGGGAAAACTTTACTCAGTGAAGTAAAACCTTACACAAAGCTCAACATTTACTAAGTCCTCAAAGGTAAGCGTTTTCTTCCAATTTCTTACTATTCGAGGCAGTCTCTTGAGAGTAGATATCAAGCTTTGATCTCAGACAGGTATCCTGTTTAGTCAATTTTGCTGCATTTATCAGCTATTGCTTATCCTGCCTGTCTTCCAGCTTGTTCCTCTTTCTGCCTTGACCCACAGACTATTAGAAACACCGAAGAACTGGCATCTATCTGCCTGCAGTGACACTTCCCCAAGGTCTAATCCTGTGGCTGTTCAGGAAGTCTTTTAGGAAAAAGAAAAAACACCTTATCCAGTAACTTCCTACTCACATTATCATATCCATCCTTCCACTGCACTTGGCTCCTCACTTTAACCTACCTATACGTTACCCTGTGTGCAGAGAGTTAGAGATACTATCTCTACTCATTCATTAGAGTAGGGATAATGCAGATATCAAAGACCTAGGAAGTGACTTAGCAGAACAGTGACATCCATCAAATCAGAGAGAATCAAGAATAAAATTAAATAGCTTTTTCTTGTCCTTCGTATTAAGGGAATCAATCTTTGCATGTAGAGGTGAAATTTTCTATCATTTACAATTAAATGTACAATTAAACAATTAAACCCTAAAAAACTAGCTAGCTTTCAGTTTTATCACTATATTAACATGTTCTGTACTGGAAAAGCCAAATAAAAAACAACAGCCTCTGCAGAGCTCATTAAGCTACTTTAAGTATGCTGTGTGTTTGATATTTCCAGATGCACTCGACTTGATTCCAATCCAAGAACTAACATGACTGCAAATGCAGTTAAATCAGTCATTTCTTACACTGAGTGAATCAAGGACAGCATCTGTCACCCTGCATTGGTGAAACAGCCTGATTTACACACACACACACCTTTTTTGAGCATCAACCCTTTAAACTATTAAAACATAGAAAGACTTAAAACTTAAATATTCCTTTCACATAGAATGTAGACATTCACATTTTAAATTTCATTTTGGTGAGTTCTAGAAGAATAGACCATCTGGTATGTTGTGTTCAGATTATAAAGATTATAGTTTCATTGAAGCAAAATCGAGAAAATATTGTCTCTATTGACCCCGGAATTTGCAAAACTTTCATGTTAACAAAACCCAAATATGCAAGCTGAACAGGCTTGACACATCCCCTTTACAAGGAACAGGCACCTCATGTGACCAATGCACTTCAATTTGAAGTGCCATGTTGCAGAGTTTGGCATCTTTCTCTTCACACCTCCATACATTGCTAACAGCATAGAGAAGCAGATGTTCTGTTCTGTGTTGTCATTTAGGAAGTTTCATTTGCTGTTCTCTAGGTTTTTCTGTACTTAGAGTTAAGACGTAGTTTACTTGCAACACCTTGTTTACACAATTTATCAGCACATCTGTCTGATTTGTTTTTCAGATATTAATAGAGAAAACTATCTGATCCAGAAAAACTACTGAAATTGTGCTTCCCTTTCTTCCTTCTCGAGATAAGCTGGTTGGTTTGGGATCCCAATCTTTATCTTCAAAGAACAGCTCAGACATTCAGATCTGTTCAGTTGGATCAGTTATCTCACAAACCTCCCAGAAATGGACAAAATTTTGCATTCTGAATAAATACAAAGTATCAATTACTAGGATCTTCAAATAAATAGTCATTGGGTGATGAATTAACCACCCTGGCAAAAATGCATGATTAATCAAAAGTAAATTTCTTATAACACTAATTGATTCTGGGCTGGTCACAGAGAATTTGGTTTGTTCTATATTCCTAGCACCACCTTACTCCCTCCTTTCTCTTAGGATCTGTCATTTGTAGCCCATCTCACTAGAGAAATACTACCCTTAGCTGCATATTTATTTATCAGCTTATGCCAAATTTGTAAGTGATGTACCACTCTGCTTTCAGAACATTTAATGAAAAATCTCTTGCGAGAGAGCTGCTTAAGAAAATGCTACTTATGTTCAACCAACCCCCAGGTATAAGAAGCGAAAGTGTGCGCTCTTTTGAAAGAAAGCAGAAATTCTAAAAATAGTGCAAAAAACACAGCCTCTTTAATGCTGTCTTTAAAGCTCTTGCAGTGGCTCGTTACTGGATTTATTCTTTTCTAAGAAAAAAAAATGTTATTTGCTTGACATATGCCCTTATGCACTACCTAACTTTAAGTGAAATATATGTAATTGAGTGCACATTGTAACATTCTTTTAGAAAGAAAACTAATGTCCAAGGGGGAAACCGTCAGAGTAGCATGGGATGAATATCCCAGCTTCCTTCTGGAAGAAGGAACTGAGTATGTACAGTATGCAAAGCCAATGGGCAAAAGCATTTTGCAGCTGGGGTATTTTAAGTCAGATGTTTCCTCTACTATTTTTGTTTATTTAATGTAGTAGAAAATTTTGCTGGGAGCTGCTTAAGTCCCTGCTTCAAGCGATTGAAGGACTGCTCTGATTCAGCAGTGCCTTGGCAGAAGGTCTGGGACTATGATAGCCCTCGTTCCTGGATAGACACAGTGCCTAAGGAGCACAGGGTGGATAAGATGCAAAACTTGTTCTGCCAAGACCTTCCTCTTCACCCCCATTATCAGCTTCAATGATTCTTTATTATTTTATACTAAATAAGAGATGCCATTTCTTGTTTCAAATGGAGTTTGGAGTTCCTCTCACAAGATTAGGATTACCCACCCTTTCCCCTCTGTTTCACCTTTATAATCCATGCAGACAATTCTCAGAGAAAGGGTTGTTTGGTAAGAAATTTCTCACTCATTGCTGGTTAACACCAACAAAATTCATCAGAGGTTGCAAACAAAAAATGTGCAAGTGCTCTTATTAAAAGACAGACATATAGAAAATGGTTCTTGCAAGTACCTACTTGGCAGTATGTAGTAATGACATATACCAGGAAAATCATCCTTGTTTTGATAAAGCAGCAGAAAAATTTAAGATTTCTTCTCAATCCCAGTAGGAGGCCTCTCGCATTGGTATTTAAATAAATGTATTCTAGACAGCAGAATCAGCCCTCATGACAAATGTATGTGTATGTACAAGTGCCAGTGCTATTTTAGCAAGGCGTGAGCCGCTTTTTGCTAGCGGGTGGACAGTTGTCAGAAAAGCTGCATCGCCACCATTTTTGAAGACAGTCATATGCAGCATTTTACGCAGAGTCTGTTGACAGGCAATGAGAAAATAATATCAAAGCATTTTTATCATTCTAGTTTGCATTATTCAGTGTTTTCCTGCCTCTGCAGAGCTCATTAAGCTACTTTAAATAAACAATTAAACTAGTATTGAATATGCATTATTCCCAATAGAAAACAGTGCCTGCAAATGCTGCAATTAATTACAGATCTGTCTCTTTACATAAAACTGCTTTTGGCATTCTTTCTGATAAAGTCTTTCTGCTTTAAGAAAAGAAAGAAACTAATCGCCAAGTGGACTTGCTATCTATTCAATATCACAGTCCTTATTGGATAATATTCCAGAGGGGAAAAGCACATGAAACTCCAATATTAACTCAGAAAAAGCCTGCAGTCTAGTAGATCTCTGGTGGAATCTATTTATGGTGGTCTAAGAAGAACAAATGCTGACCTCCCTTTTATTCTAAATCTTGGTGTTCCTTCCATTAAATTTCTTACCATCATCTTTAACATTGAGATCAATACTCAGGTTGCCTGTTAAAGAGATAGTAATTTAACAGGGAACTAAATTTCTAGAGTTTCCATCCTCCATATGCAGGATTTTCATAATCACTAGAGTATTCTCCAGAGGATGCTCCAATTAAATGCAAAAGATAGCCGGGCTACATTTCAGTTTGCTTTTTGAAATGTTTTCATTTTTTATTTTCTAACTGTACCCAAAACTGTGGAATGCACTTTGGCAAGACCTGGGCCGTGAAGAAATTCTAGGGCTTCCCTATCCCATCTTCTTAGACATGAGGCACACAGATTTTACTGAAATGTGTTAAGAACAGGGAATTGCATGAATTCCTGACAAAAGTTTCAAAGCTAATCTAATATTTGGCAATGAAGTCTTATGAAATTAAACATCAAAGCAAAACCACTAGAACAAGATTTTTTCCATGTGTAGATACGAACACTAAAATATTAGAAGACTTTAGTTGCTAAAAACCACAACACTGAAGTTAACACAAAGGACAAGGTCCTCAGCTAATACGTATTCAGAATGATTTTTGAAAAAATGAATAAATCAATGGTGCTATGTCAGTCTACACCTGCTGAAGAACTAACCCCATGATATGGGACACTAACACCAGAGTGCAATACTGCTCACACTCAGAACAGCAAAAAGAGGCTTCCAGCCTGGAATTCAACAAAAATCTGATTCAAGAAGAATATGATTCATAAGATAGTCAACAAAATTCCACTGCTACTTGCAAAATAGTCTTTAATAAGATTAGTTTAAAATTCCATAAGGATAGATATTGCAAATACCATGTTAAGAAAATATTTTAAGCTTATTCTATTCTGCAAAGGACAGTGTCACAAGAAAAAGAATTATATCCTCACAGACAGGACACTTGTCTTAGTTCCATGCCCACATCCACTGTTTTGGGGTTTTGTTGTTGTTGTTTTTGCTGCTATGACCTTAGAGAGTTACTTCAGCTCTGTCACCACGTTCCTCTGCTGCCAGTCAGGGCTTTGAGCTCTCCAGGGAATGGATTGTCTTTTCTGATGTGTTTGTACAGCATCTCTCATTAGGAAAAAGGTCTCTATCTTGGGCCCTCAAATGCTAAGGCAATACAAAAAACAATACTATATCTTTGTAAAGAGGAACCCAATCAGTCAAAAAGCTAAATATTGAAGGATGCTAAACAAGTAAAATGAAAGAAAAAGCGAAAAAAGAGAAAGAAACCAAGCCACATGATACCTGGTTGAAGGACTCTGAATGACTATTTCACTAAGAATAGCAATTTGAGTTAAATTGCTTTTCCTC